ATCATCTCAGAGAGATGAAGGGGTAGCTGTTACTTCTCTACAAGGAAATGGATTAGAATTGCCCACTGAGACTGTGGCTAACGATAGGGACTGCCTGGCAAGGTCTCAAGGCCGCAAGAGGAAGGTTGTGGGCTTAACATGCATGGGAAACTATAGGTTTTCATACACAAATGCTAGAAGAGTCCGAGGCAAAATCGGGGAGTTGGAATGCTTAGTTTTGGGAGAGGAAATGGGTATTTGTGGATATTTCAGAAACTTGGTGGGATGAGGAAAATCAGTGGGATACGGTGATTCCCGGTTATAGATTTTATCGGAAGGATGGGGGGGAAGGGTTGGAGGTGGGGTGGCTCTGTATGTCTGAGAGGGTGATGCAGTCCAGTAAGATTAAGAGGGTAAGAGAACTGGATTCACTATATTTCAGAAACTTGGTGGGATGAGGAAAATCAGTGGGATACGGTGATTCCTGGTTATAGATTATATCGGAAGGATAGGGGGGGAAGGGTTGGAGGTGGGGTGGCTCTGTATGTCTGAGAGGGTGATGCAGTCCAGTAAGATTAAGAGGGTAAGAGAACTGGATTCACTTCTGGAAATGCTGTGGGTCCAAAAGGAAGCTTAACAGTGGGAGTTTGTTATCGCCCACCGGAAAAGATAGAGGAGGATTATAAAATGATGAATGAATTAAAGATAGCAGCTAGACAAAAGAACTGTGCTGTGATAAGTGATTTTAACTACCCACATATTGATCGTGTTCTAGTTGGGAAAAAGAGTGAGTTTCTAGACTCTCTCCATGACTGTGCTATGGAGCAGATGGTCACAGAACCTACCAGGGGAGAGGCGATCCTGGATTTGGTCCTAAGTAACACCCAACACCTGGTGAGAGATGTAAAAGTGATTGTACCGCTTTGCTTCTCTTATGTTCTTAGGAGGTGAGGTATCCTTCAGTACTGCATATTTTGGAGAACGATGGAGGGGTGATTAAGAATATAAGAGAAGACAATGTTGGATCAGGCCAATGGCCTATCTAGTCCAACACTGTCACAAAGTGGCCAAAGGTACCAGGTGCCATCAGGAGGTCCACCAGTGGGGCCAGGACACTAGTTTTTAAGTTGTCTATCAGTCATAGGACTTCCTCTCTCATCACGTCAATCTGACTCAGGTCTTTCAACTCCCCTCCCGAAATCAGTGATTCTGGAGTGGGTAAGCACTTCTCATGTTCCACAGTGAAGACAGAGGCAAAAAATGCATTCAGCTTCTTTTCCCTATCATCCTTCAGGGCTCCTTTTACCACTTGGTCATCCAAGGGCCCCACTGCCTCCCTAGCTGGTTTCCTGCTTCTAATGTATTTGAAGAAAGTTTTATTGTTGGTCTTTATGTTTTTTGCAATATGCTCCTCATAGTCCCTTTTTGCCTCTCTGATCACAGACTTGCATTTTATTTGCCACAGCCTGTGTTCCATTTTATCAAACTCACTGAGACTAGCTTTCCACCGCTTAACGGAATTACCTTTTACAGCTTCCATTACTTTGTTTGTTAACCATGCAGACCTTTTTGTATACCTATTTGTGCCTTTCCTAACCTGCGGAATATATATTTTTTGAGCTTCTAGGATCGTAGTTTTAAATAGTTTCCAAGCTTCCCCAATGGTTTTGACCCTTTCTATTTTTCCTTTCAGTTTCCTCCCCACATATCCCCTCATATCAGAGAAGTTACCCCTTTTAAAGTTAAAAATGGTTGTGTCAGTCTTTTTGGGAAACTCCCTATTTATACAAACATTGAAATCAGTGGAAAGCGGTGCAATCCCTTTTACATCTCTCACCAGGTCTTACATAGGACCAAATCCAGGATCGCCTCTCCCCTGGTAGGTTTTGTGACCATCTGTTTCATAGCACAGTCATTGAAAGTGTCTATTTATTTTTATTTATTTTATTTTTCAGTTTTATATCCCGTCTCTCCTGTCAACAGGCTCAGGGCGGGTCACAACATTTAAAACACATTAAAACATATAAAATCAATAGTCACGCTTGCTGTAGGGAGAATCCGGCCCATTGATGTAATGAAGTATGACTGGTTATCAGTGGGTGGGAGACCGCAACCTCGGAAGGGGGGCAATAGACCTTATCAAACGGAATTGCATGAGATCCTGCAGGGCCCTGACCACAATAGGGAGCGTGTTCCACCAGGTGGGGGGCAGGGCGAAAGAAGCCCCTGCCCTGGTAGAGGCTAGGCGGATGTCCTTTGGGCCAGGCATCACCAGGAGATGTTTACTCTCACAGCGTAACTCTCTCCGAGGCGTAAGTGGGAAGAGGCGGTCCCTTAGGTAGGTTGGTCCCAGGCCGTATAAGGCTTTGAAAGTGATTACCAGCACCTTGAAGCGGATCCAGTACTCAACCAGCAGCCAATGCAGCTGACAGAGCAGATGCCAGACGTGAGCCGCACAGGCGTTGACATCAGCAGGCGCCCCCCCCCCCCCCCTCTTTTTTTTTAAATAGTTTCCAAGCTTCCCCAATGGTTTTGACCCTTTCTATTTTTCCCTTCAGTTTCCTCCCCACGTGTCCCCTCATATCAGGTAGCTAAGTCCCAGGGGAGCAGATTGGGCTTCAGTCGCCTGACCTAAGATGGAAAGAGGCAGACCTGGCGACAGCAGCCACCTGGGCCTCCCTAGATAAGGGGGTATCCAGCGCTACTCCTGGGCTCTTCACCGACTGGACCGGCACCAGAGGGGTCCCTTCCAGAGTGGGAAGCCTGATGCCAACGTCCAACCCCCCCCACGACCCAGGTACAGGACCCAGCCCATACCTTCGGACTCACTGGGCGAGGGGGCGCATGTAGATATTAAACAACATTGGTGACAGGATCGCCTTCTGCGGCACTCCATATTCTAGCGGGTATCGCGGGGAGACACTCTCGCCCAGAGCCACCCTCTGTCCCCAACCATGGAGGAAGGAGGAACACCATTTCAAGGCAGGCCCCTGGACTCCTACGGCAGCAAGGCGGTGGATCAAAAGACCGCAATAGACCTTATCAAACGGTGCTGTTAAATCTAATAACAGCAGCGCTGACCCGCCTCGATCCAGATGTCTACAGAGGTCATCTGTAAGGGCGACCAGGGCCGTCTCCGTCCCATGGCCAGGGCGGGAGCCGGACTGGAAAGGATCAAGGATAGAAACTCAGTCTCTTTTTCCCGACTTGAACACATATTGAACCAATCAATCTGTGGGTACTTAAAATCACCTATGATGACCAATGCTCCCTCTAAGCTGTAGAGAAACTTCCTAACTGTAAGAGTGGTTGAGCAGTGGAAGAGTCTGCCTCGGGAGATGGTGGATGCTCCTTCACTGGACGTTTTCAAGCAGAGGCTGCACGACAGTCTTTCGGGTATGTCGTAGGACTATCTTTTTGGCTATGCTTCTGAACAGGGCAGGGGGTTGGACTAGATGACCTGCAGGGTCCCTTCCAATTATTAAAAGTGTGGGGATGTGGGATAGACTCAGTTCAAAAGGGGTCATACATAGGCACAGAGCCAATCGCCCAGAGCAGAAGGGGCCCGCCAGGAAATAATGGACTGACGTTCCCAGAGAAGACGTTACAGAGAGGTGCTCAAGGATAGGCTCATAAAACATACAGATAACAGGGCATCCCAGGCAGAGAGAGAAACGGAAGTTAACATACCGATCAGAGGACGTTCCCCCCACACCCACACACACACACCAGCCTCAATGGCAGCTAGCTGACAGTTTGCTCTGGAGCCATCCCTTCCTGAGCCAAGACAAAAATGTGTCACCTGGAAGCTTAGAGGGAACACTGATTACGACACAGTTATTTTGTCTAGCCGCTATCTTTAATTCATTCATCATTATATAATCCTCTGTCTTTTGATCTGGTGAGCAATAACAACTCCTAGTGTTAAGATTTCTTTTGGGTCCACTATTTCAACCCATAGCATTTCCAGAAGCAAATCCAATTCTCTTACCCTCTCAGTCTTACTGGACTGTATACCCTCTCAGACATACAGAGCCACCCCACCTCCAACCCTTCACCTCCATCCTTCTGACATAATTTATAACCAGGAATCACCATATCTCGCTGATTTTCCTCGTCCCACCAAGTTTCTGAAATACCCACAGTGTTTATTCCCCCCCCCCAACACCAGGCATTCCAACTCACCAGTTTTACCTCGGGGACTTCTAACATTTGCATATAAACATCTATAATTTCCCATGCATGTTAGGTCTGCAACCTTCCTCCTGCTGCCTTGAGACCTTGCCAGGAAGTCCATATTGTTCGTCTCAGTGGACAATTCTAATCCATTTCCCTGTAGAAAAGTAACAGCTACCCCTTCATCTCTTTGAGATGAGCCATCCCGAACCAGAGACTCTTAATCTCCTGTCTGCTTTCTCCCAATATTCAGTTTAAAAACTGCTCTTCCACCTTTCTGATTTTAAGCGCCAGCAGCCTGGTTCCTTCTCGGGACAAGTAGAGACCGTCCCTTTTGTACAGCTCCCTCTGGTTCCAAAAAGCATCCCAGTGCCTAACAAACTTGAACCCTTCCCCCCTACACCATCCACGCATTGAGACTGCTGATCTGTGCCTGTCTCTCCAGGCCTGGGCGTGGAACAGGTAGCACTTCTAAGAAGGCTACCTTTGAGGTCCTGGACCTAAGTTTCCTGCCCAGCAGCCTAAATTTTTCCTCCAGGACCTCGCGACTGCATTTCCCCACATCGTTGGTGCCAACGTGTACCACGACCACCCCAGCACTTTCTTATCAGCCTACCTAGAACACACAGAGAATGTCCGCTACCTTCACACCAGGTACGCGGGTTCACCACCCAGCTGTCTACCTGCCTAAGGATCGAATCACCAGTCACCAAGAACCCTTCCCTGCCCAGGGATGGTTCCTTGGTGCTGAATCATAGAATGTTAGAGTTGGAAGGGACCTTGCAGGTCATCTAGTCCAACCTCTTGCACTCTGCAGGAGCATAGCCGAAAGATAGCCCTACAACATACCCGAAAGTTGGTTGTCCAGCGGAGCATCCCCCAACTCCCGAGGAAGTCTGTTCCACTGCTCAACCACTCTTACAGTTAGGAAGTTTTAGTCTTGCAATCCAGAGCAAGAGAGAATAGATCTGCTCCATCTTCTCCATGACAGCCCTTCAGATATTTGAAGACTGCAGTCATGTCCCCTCTAATAAGCCTTCTCTTTCCCAGGCTAAACATACCCCAACTCCTTCAGCCTTTCCTCGTAAGACTAGATTCCAACATATTAAAAAAGTTCCTTCAGAGGGCACATTCCCCTTACCCTCAGCATGGTGCCCTATTTCCTTGACCCTCATGCTCCCTGACAGCAGCAGGGCTACCAGTCTTCTTCATGCGCTTGCCTGACTGTCTCTGCTTGTTCAGGTCTGCTACCTTGGCCTCAAAGGTTCAAACTCATTTCCCAAGAACCAGGAGCTCCTTGCACCGGGCACACACCCAAGGCTTCTGTCCAGTGGGCAAACAGTCATACATATGACACTGTGCAAAACACTGGATAGCCCCCAACCCACTGCTGGCATTCTGGCTTCATAATTGCTTTAAAAATAATAATTATATATAACCCCCCTTTTAAAACCCTTTGTATTTATGTGGTTCTCCTTGTACAAATCTACTTTCCTTACTGGGAGCCCAAGGATACCAGGGCCCTGGCTTTCTGGCTCTTCCCGGGCTTCTTACAGAGCCCCCAGGCCAAGAGTCCCTAGGCCAAGAGCCCTTTGTCTCATGCCAGAGGCTCATATCTCTGGCAAGGTGCAGTCTTCAATAGAAGCCAGTGTACTCAGTACACTCAGCTAAATCTCCTCAGCTGAAAGCAAATAAAAAACACTCACCCCTCTGGCAGCTCTGTCTCCTACTGCTTTTCAGAGCTCAGCTGGGTCAGCTCTGCCTCTGGCGAGGTGCACCCTTAAATAGAAGCTTCACACAGAAGAGGGCAGGGCCAGCAGGTATTCAATTTACACCCAGGCAATCCAATTACAGTCAATCACCCTTTCTCAAGCAGCCTGGACTCTGCAACAACTTAAATCTCACTCCCACACAGTACACTCGGCTAAATCTCCTCAGCTGAAAGCAAATAAAAAACACCCCTCTAGCATCTCTGTCTCCTGCTGCTTTTCAGAGCTCTGCTGGGTTAAAATCAGCCAAGCTGGATGAGGCCAAAGGACCGTCAATGCTTTCCTCCTGCAGTCATATAATATGCCTTTGGACCTTACCAGCTCTCCCAGATGCTAACAGGATCTCTCTTTTTATTCCAGCAGAGGATGATCAAAGGACTGAGGCGGATGCAAAACTTCATCACCAACGGCCAGAAAGGGTTAAAAATGAAGACATGAAAGAAAATGTCAGGAATCGAGGGAGACCTAAGAGAAAGAAATGTAGCAATATGATTGAGAAGAGAGATGGCAGACAGCGTAATGTACATTTTGCAAAGAAAAGTATAATGAAGGCAAATAAATCCACTAAATGTGGAAAGTACTTCAGAAATAGATCACAGCTCCTTGTGCAACAAAGAATACATAGAGGCAAGGAACCTTTTAAATGCTCAGTGTGTGGAAAGAGATTCAGTGACAGTAGCGCTCTTCAGAAGCATGAAAGAACTGACACAGGAGAGAAACCTTTTGAATGCTCAGTGTGCGGAAAGAGATTCAGACAGAGTGGCAATCTTCAAAAGCATCAAAGAACCCACACAGGGGAGAAGCCTTTTGAATGTTCAGAGTGTGGCAAGAGATTTAGTCAGAGCGGCAGTCTTCAATGTCATCAAAGAACCCACACAGGGGAGAAACTGTTTGAATGCTCAATGTATGTAAAGAGATTCAGTCGGAGTGGCCATCTTCAACTGCATCAGAGAACCCACACAGGGCAGAAACCTTTTGAATGTTCAGAGTGTGGAAAGAGATTCAGTCGGAGTGGCAATCTTCAAGAGCATCAAAGAACTCACACAGGGAAGAAACCTTTTGAATGTTCAGAGTGTGGAAAGACATTTAGTCGGAGAGACAATCTTCAAGATCATCAAAGAACCCACACTGGGGAGAAACTTTTGAATGCTTAGAGTGTGGAAAGAGATTCAGTCGGAGTGGCACTCTTCAATATCATCAAAGAACCCACACTGGGGAGAAACTTTTGAATGCTTAGAGTGTGGAAAGAGATTCAGTCGGAGTGGCACTCTTCAATATCATCAAAGAACCCACACTGGGGAGAAACTTTTGAATGCTTAGAGTGTGGAAAGAGATTCAGTCGGAGTGGCACTCTTCAATATCATCAAAGAACCCACACTGGGGAGAAACTTTTGAATGCTTAGAGTGTGGAAAGAGATTCAGTCGGAGTGGCACTCTTCAATATCATCAAAGAACCCACACTGGGGAGAAACTTTTGAATGCTTAGAGTGTGGAAAGAGATTCAGTCGGAGTGGCACTCTTCAATATCATCAAAGAACCCACACTGGGGAGAAACTTTTGAATGCTTAGAGTGTGGAAAGAGATTCAGTCGGAGTGGCACTCTTCAATATCATCAAAGAACCCACACTGGGGAGAAACTTTTGAATGCTTAGAGTGTGGAAAGAGATTCAGTCGGAGTGGCACTCTTCAATATCATCAAAGAACCCACACTGGGGAGAAACTTTTGAATGCTTAGAGTGTGGAAAGAGATTCAGTCGGAGTGGCACTCTTCAATATCATCAAAGAACCCACACTGGGGAGAAACTTTTGAATGCTTAGAGTGTGGAAAGAGATTCAGTCGGAGTGGCACTCTTCAATATCATCAAAGAACCCACACTGGGGAGAAACTTTTGAATGCTTAGAGTGTGGAAAGAGATTCAGTCGGAGTGGCACTCTTCAATATCATCAAAGAACCCACACTGGGGAGAAACTTTTGAATGCTTAGAGTGTGGAAAGAGATTCAGTCGGAGTGGCACTCTTCAATATCATCAAAGAACCCACACTGGGGAGAAACTTTTGAATGCTTAGAGTGTGGAAAGAGATTCAGTCGGAGTGGCACTCTTCAATATCATCAAAGAACCCACACTGGGGAGAAACTTTTGAATGCTTAGAGTGTGGAAAGAGATTCAGTGACAGTAGCTCTCTTCAGAGGCATCGAAGAACCCACACTGGGGAGAAACTTTTGAATGCTTAGAGTGTGGAAAGAGATTCAATCACAGTAGGAATCGTCAGGCGCATCAAAGAATCCACACAGGGGAGCAACGTTTTGAATGCTCACGGTGTGGAATGAGATTCAGTAAGAGTAGCCATCTTCAGCGGCATCAAAGAACCCACACAGGGGAGAAACCTTTTCAATGCTCAGAGTGTGGAAAGAGATTCAGTCAGAGTTGGAGTCTTCAACAGCATCTGAGAACCCACACAGGAGAGAAACCTTTTGAATGCTCAGTGTGTGGAAAGAGATTCATTAACAGTAGCACTCTTCAAGAGCATCAAAGAATCCACACACGGGAGAAACCTTTTGAATGTTCAGACTGTGGGAAAAGATTCAGTCGGAGCGACAAACTTCAGAAGCATCAAAGAACCCACACAGGGTAGAAACCTTTTGAATGTTCAGACTGTGGGAAAAGATTAAGTCGTAGTGGCAGTCTTCAGAAGCATCAGATAACCCACATAGGCGAGAAACCTTTTCAATGCTCAGAGTGTGGAAAGAGATTCAGTCAGAGTTGGAGTCTTCAACAGCATCTGAGAACCCACACAGGAGAGAAACCTTTTGAATGCTCAGGGTGTGGAAAGAGATTCAGTGACAGTAACACTCTTCAGAAGCATGAAAGAACCCACACAGGGGAGAAACCTTTTGAATGCTCAGGGTGTGGAAAGAGATTCAGTGACAGGAGCACTCTTCATAAGCACCAAAGAACCCACACAGGGGAGAAACCTTT